ATAAAGGCAAAATCATCAGAGGATATATATTGTAGACATGTAATGCTAAGAAGTCCTGGAGTATAACTGTCCAGATGAAATGAAGTTTAGATAAGGTGATACAGCTCAGAGAGCTTTTTGGTTTCCAGCTGCTCCCAGATTGAAAGCCTACCAGAGACTATACTAATAAGCAATTCCACTCATACCCCCATATAAAAGTTGATGAGTAAATAGGCAGAGAAAATGTATGTAATCTTGTGAATAATTTTCTAATTCCCCCATTTCCATTTGATATATGCAAAAGCATGAATATAAACCAAGAAAAGGTCTTAAACTGTATTTTTGTTAATAAAAGCTTTTGCTAATCTCAATTCTCAAACACTCCAGGAATCTGCAATTCCCATTTTCTTTTCACAGCATTAGTGAACAATGGACATTGGCAATAGTCTTTTTTTCTTTCTTTCTTTCCCCTGAAAGTACTGCCAAGAATTATAATAAGCCTGTAATATGTAGTGGAAAAGTCTAAACAAGTGTGACTGTTCTGCATAAGTTATTTCATGGCTACAGAAATGCAAACAGGAATACAAAAATCAATCCCGGCCAATAGGGTCTACAATATAATTCAAAAGGTTGCATAATAGTGGTGAGTGAAGAGAGAATGCTGAAGGAAAACAAGTGCAGCATACCCATGTCACTGATGATATGCAAAATAGAGCATTGTAGACAGAATGCCTGTTTAATAATATTTTCATTCCACTCTCAGAAACTAAATTGTATGACTTTCCACTTACCCTCAGCCAAACCATCCACACAGCCAAACAAATAGCTTTAGTACTTGCAGGTGTTCCTTTCTATCACAGTCACAAGAGATTCTTTCCAATCTGTTCATTTTATCATCTTAAATCTATAGAACTGGACTAGTTACCAGTTTTTCATCTGCCATTGCTTGGACAATAATAAGGTACTGATATTATTTTGATTTCTTTTCAACATACACTAATGCAGTCTTTTAAATAGTGTTTTTCCCCCAGAGTAATAAAGATATGTTGGCAGACACTGCTCGGTATTCATTGAATTGCTGTCAGGAAGTTAGCAGCAATCCTTTTAAGGAATAAGTTTTCATGGCCTGAAAATATGTTTGTATTCAGGAAACTATGAGAATTATTTTGCAAGCATCTTCTATCCTCCAAATTACAAAATAATTATCAATTACAATTCTTCCTATTTCTCAGGAAAGGCTGTAACAGTTAAATCACGTAGAAAACCAAAGTAGATTGCTGTTTTTAAACAGATGTTCTGTGAGTATCCTGTGACCAAATTTAATCAAAGTCTGATTCATACTTGCTTGACAGTTTAATGACTGCAACAAGGTTCATATTACTTCAGTTACAGTGCATTCATTGAAGTTAAACTGTCAGGTATATGGGTTGGATAATATAAGTGCAGACTTACTGTAGCACTGGAGTAGTTCTAACATCGAAGAACAGCTTCTCAGGAATGTTGGAAAACTGATGTATATAACATTTACAGTTTATTTCAGACACATGAAGAAAAACTCCAAGTGGCACAACTGGCACTAAAGAGACTAGTTTCTTCTTTATGTACTATGTATCTTATTATTTATGGCAACTATATTTTTCCATCATTTCAGTAAAAGTAACACTCAAGTAGGAGCATCTGCAGTTGCTGTGCCCCTTTGAAATGGCATGCATTGTCACAATGTATAGAACAGGGAGGGCTCTTATCACAATGGTGCAATGTTCTTTTCACACACTGACTGGTTTGACCATAATCATTCCCCCATCATAGACATGGCTATTACAAAAACTCTTCACTTCTCTTTATTCTGTAGATATAAATAGAGCATTTGCCGCTGAAAATGTCCAATCCATGATTACATTCATATAGTATTTCTGGCGCATTCTTTATACTAGATATGTTGTTGTGAAAAACAACCAATATTGATAATATTGAAAAAGTTATTTTTCTTTTATTAAGGCAATGAAAAAAACAAAAGTGTGTCTTCATTGCAGTTTCCACCCCATTTCCCACACCCGATATTAGAAGCTACTACTCTGACAAAGCTAGGAACAGCTTCAAGTTAATTAAGTGGTTCTGTCTTCTTGAAACAGATGGAGTGAGATGATTGTGAAACATTGCTTAAAGTGAAACAATGCCAGCAGTTTCAGATTATTTTTAAGAAAAATTAAAATTTTCAGTTTTATATCTTTATACCTGGTATTCAGTGGAACATTTTATTGTAAAAGAGGTTTGAAAGTTTTTTTTTTTTTTTTGCCAATTAATAGAAATCTAATTGACAGCATTTGCATAAAATGCCTACATTTAAAAGATGATATTTAGCCTGTCAGGTAGCATCATCTCTTTTCAGCATGTTCTATTCTTCCTTGAACAGAAAGTAATTTCCAGAATCACATTCAGCATGATAAATCTCCTATTTTCATTTTCTATAGCTGTTCCTATAGAGTTATCCTGTCACAGCGAATTATGAAACAATTGTTGACATATCCAGCTCAGATGAATTTCCACATAATACTGGGCATAGAATGAAGAATTAAATTAAAAGAAAGATGTGGTTTCTAACCACCCTTGTTCATCCTAAATTTAGAAATGGAAGCTTAGAGTTTGCTGGCTAGAAAATCCTAGAAGAGAAAACCTGAGAAAAATCTATGTAGATTTAAGGTAGATAATTACCTAAGCATGTTGTTGGGAAACTTACTAAGCTGAAGTGGATGTCATACTGCTTCTTCAGCCGAAACTTTCTTTACTTCTTGTTGGGGATCCATAAATGGCATCCTCAGAAAAGTATCAGCTGAAGGGCCCTATCCAGTGGTGGGTTCCTCCCGGTTCTGCCCGGTTCTGCCGAGCCGGTAACGGTGACGATATGACGTCACCGAACCGGTTCTACCCCACCCACCCCCCATGTTATTCTTACCTTTTATTTGTCCCCACCCCCAATCTATTGCTGCCTCCTGAGTCCCAGCTGATGGCTAGAGGGAAAAAAACTGTTTAAACTCTTGTTGCGGGGCTTCAAAGGGCCGCCCTACAGCTGATCAGTGTTAAAAGAAAACAAATGAGTAGACCGGTGCCTGCAAAAGTAAAAGGGTAGACCAGTGCCTGCAAAAATACATAAGTAGATCAGTGCCTGCAAAAATACATGAGTAGATCAGTGCCTGCAAAAATAAATGGGTAGATCGGTACAGCTCTGCAAGCAGTTAAAAGCCTGGTAGACCAGTACCTCTGCTAAATCCTAAATGTCACATGACCATCAAGCCACGCCCACAAAATAAGCCATGCCCACAGAACCAGTAGTAAAAAAATTTAGAACCCACCCCTGGCCCTGTCACCTGTTACTATCTTACTGAGCATTGGAAGACATTTTAAATAAGACTCGTGGATCTCTTCTGGAGAGGGCAAGGGGACAGGCCAAAACACAGGTGCAGGGCAAAGTGCATGTGAGAGCTGAATGTTTATTAGACTGGAAAGAAATACTTTTAATACCCATGTTCATTAAGTATCTAAAGCAAAGAAGAGCGAAAAGCAAAAACAAGAGAGTTTTTGAGACTTAGAATAAAAGCAGTGGCTATTCTTCATGCTGAATATTTGAGAGGATGGAAGAAGGGAGGAGAAAGAGGAGAAAAATAGTGATAGTGGTAGCAAAGTGGGTGCAGTTGTCTACTGTTGCTGCTGTGGCTTTCCTCAGGGCTGAAACTAATATTGGGAGTTTCCTCATACAGTTCACCTTCTAAATTGTAAAATTGCCTCCGTTGCCCCAACATTTATCAAGTATATTTGCTTATTTCTTAGCACCGGTCCCTCTTCTTCCTCCCCCACATGCACTGCTGTGCTTCTCTTTTCCTCTCTTACACTTTTCTTCTTTGATGGAACCCCTTTGCTTCACTGGAAATGCTTTGGTTGAGTCTGCCCTTTCTTTCAAGGCTTCCCGTCTCTTTTCCTCCCTAAAATATGTGATGCACACTCTTCTTTAGCATCTTTTCACATTTTCCAAGCCATTCTTACTCTTTTCTTACCCCTATCCACTTTCATTTCTTAGTTTTCTTGTGTTTTTTAAAAAATACATACATAGAGACATACATTCATACATACATATATACATACATACATACATACTTGTTTTCGTAGATTTTCACAGGTAGAGGTATGCAAGTTTTGGTGTATTCGGGTCTTTTCCCATGTAAGATTGAAAGTATCTTGGCGATGTTTCGACATACATACATATATACATACATACATACTCAAAATTCCTGTTCAATTTCTCTTTTTATACAATTATACAGTTCACCCATTTTCCCCCTCTATGGATACTAACAAGGACTATCAATTCAATAACACATTAAACTGTACCAAAAAGACGGACTACTCTTCATAACATGTAAAAAAGGAATATGAGACATATATAAAAAATCTTATATTTTGTTTTGTACACCAGTGGATTAATGGGTTTAATCTGCCCAGATATACCTAGAACCCTTGTAGGTGTCGGGGTTCCAAGTAACACCAAACTAAGTAGATGCTATTTATTCCTCATATGTTATATTTCCACCAGTAATAAATGCTTTCTTTACATGTATAAGCATTCATATGTTAATGATTATTTTACTGATTTCAAGATTTTTATTTTTTTAATAAGCGTCAGAAGATCATATGCAATAGACTTGCAGAATCTAATATTTGTTCTCTAGTAGCATAATGAAATTGTGCAGTTTTTGAAAGACTGCAGTAAATGCTTTTTCTAAACAGATGAGAAAGTTCTAGGTTGTCAGATCAGCATAATGTAAAGTTGATTCTCTGAACCAGATAGTTCCTTGGGGAATGGTGGGGTATGGAGCAGAGAGAACTGATTTGCCCAACTTTCCTGGATTGATTCCAGAATCCTAAAGTGAAACCAGCTTTCCAAAGCAATAGTGATACAATTAAAAATGTTTAGGTGATTTTCTACTTTTGATTACATAAATATATATTTTTTTATCATCTGCTTACAGCAAGTCCCACCAAACCAGGACGGGGAGGATACCCAAGTTCAGAAGAGGTGGTTCGGGAATCCAGCAGCACGACTGGCATGGTGGTTGGGATCGTAGCAGCAGCTGCTCTGTGCATTCTCATCCTCCTCTACGCTATGTACAAGTACAGGAACCGAGATGAAGGCTCCTATCATGTTGATGAGAGTCGAAACTACATCAGTAACTCAGCACAGTCCAACGGGGCTGTGATTAAGGAAAAGCAACCCAACAGCTCTAAAAGCTCCAGCAAAAATAAGAAAAACAAGGATAAGGAGTACTATGTCTGATCCCAACAACTGGAAAGAACAATTGTATAGAAATAGTTTTCATTTTATCTGAGACATAAAACAAAACTTATTTACTTTACTTTTTATGAAGCACATACAAAGTTTAAAAAATGGGGAAAGGAATATGGGGAATGCAAATAGAAAGGAAAGACTTTTTAACAAAACAAGGAATGACAAAAATGAAATAAGCATTTCATACTCTGGTTTCTCTGAAATAGGAATCAGTAAACCCCCTTACTTTCACAGTGTTTTCATTTACTCTGCCATCTTTATGTTGCTGGAATGTTTCTGAAGAAGATGTTGGTACTACTGCACACTCATAAGGCAAAGAGTATTACTCCAAAACATCACCCAGCACAACACAAATTGTGACAAACTGAAACAAAGAAAAGATGAAATCATGCACACACCCACAGTAAAGAAGCTACCTACGAGTCTGGATTTAGCCAAAGTGCTAGCACTTTCCTGAGGAGTAAGTCAATCTGATTACCTGACAAGACTTTGCCATTTGACACAAGCCCTCAAGAAGCAAAGATTGAAACTGAGCTTGCCAACTGGTGCAACAAAACAATGATTGGAGCTTGGGTTTGAAGTAAAGTGCTGGCTTTTCTGAATAAACCACATTTAAAAACAGAAGAAGAAAACATTTTTGAAAAAAGCCCCTTTCTGGTTGTGAAGAAAAAAATATAGCGGCCTTAGTTTCAAAAATAACAATAAACAAAGAAACAAAATACATGAAATATAAGGCTTATTTTCACACACCATTACCAACAAATCCTAAACTGAGGGCATAGATGCGATCATTGGAATTTAAAAAAATCATGCACGCTTAGTATGTTATTACCTATGTTTATATTAAAAACACATCTATATGTGCTTTCTGGACTGTGATAAGTGATGTTTTCTAGCCTGTTGTATAGAAATGCAAACTATATCTGCTCTTCAACCATTTTTGGTAAACTCAATGTTCTAAGTGTTGCTAGGTATAGAATGTTTTATGACATCTGGAGCAACCAACATTTCTGTTTACTTTTACAGCCATGAGAAACTGCCACACTTTTTATTCCCTTCTTGTCTTCCTTCCTCCCTCCCTTCCTTCTTCCCTCCCTTCCTGGGTTTGATTTTAATTTACAGTGTAGTAAATATACTAAACAGGATGTGTATGAATGTATATAAGAGTCAGCTAATTTTCTTCTTAACTTGTACAGCCTCTCTTCTTTTGCAGTTCAGTTTTAGTAGTTTGTATGAAAGAAGTGGACTTTAGAAAGCAAATATATATAGATATAAACTTCATTATTTTCTTCTCCAATTGTCTATCCTCTCCTATGATACATTAGCAAGATCAATCACAATTACGTGATTTCAGCTCCTTTCTCTTCCTATCCCATTAAACCCAACAACTACTGATTTAAGTGACCTTTACACTCTAGTTCAACTTTCTGGCTACTTGTCCAGGAATTGAGAAAAAGGTTGAATTCCATGATATCTTTCACCTAAACCTTTATTATCATTTGCTTTTTATTTGTATATCATTAGAGAGTTGGTTGGTAAAGAAATTCAGAAATCTGCCCTTTGAAGTACTCTAGCTCCTCTCACTAAAGCAACCCCGAGTTAGGAAAAATACTAATGTTCTCAACATAAACTGTACAAAACAAGAACAAAAGTTGCACCTTTTGTCAAATGAGGAATGGTTCTCCTTTTAACTTGTTTTTATTTACCCAGTTCTTACCCTGAGCTTGAATAGAATTTCTTCTTCTAAGGTAATGAGTACAATGGTTTGGTAAAAAAAAAATTATCTAAGATTCTCTGCAAAAATATATGTATAAACATTACAAACATTCTGGTTTATATACATGCTTACGTTACAGATTTGCAAGTTTGCTTTTTTTTTAACCACAACAAAGTGACTGCTGCACTGGGTTCCCAATGATATGTCATTCTGTATCATCTTACTTAGAGAGATACAAGTACATTACATGGAAAGATAGTTCAGTAGAAAATCCGCCTTATCCTAGAAGACCTCCTGGGAGGAGTAGAATTGTTCACACTTTACAGACAGGAAAAAAGGAATTTAAAATTAGCTTTAATCAACAAGGCACTGTATTTTCTTGTATGCTGTTTGCTGCTGTTACAGCAAAAGACTGGGAACTGGTGTTCAACAGAGCAATACTTTAGAAATACAGTAGAACACTGCTAAATGATTTGTATAATGTGCTTTGTATCAAGGGCTTATGAGGGAAGAAAGGACGATGCATGTGACTATCTGAAGGGTATGTTGTGCTCAAGATAATCTGAAATTGTTTGGCTAATTGTCCTTGTATCTACCACCTTTTGCTGAGGGGAGGGCAGGAATAGGTTCATCCTGCATTATAACCATGGCAGAAACCTGACAAGCCATCAGTGAAGAATGGATATTGATAATCAGAAGAAAGAGAGAATTTAAGCTTTGGTATTCACTGATGGCAAGGTTCATATGTGACTTCATATACTCACTTTGTTACCCAGCTTTCCCCCCCAAACGATTAACATACTTACTTTAAGGGGTAAGTTATGGGAGATTGCTACTTCTAGCAAAGATATCTCAACTTGTTTTTTGAGGAGTTACTCCTATACTTCCTTGTTGATTTTGTGATTTAATAATGAGCGAAGTGTTTGCATTTATCAAATGTTTGCAGTAGCTATATTAAAACACTGTTCTTTTTTTTTTTTCAAAATTGCATAACAAATTCATTAATACCATCTCTATAATAATCTAATTTGTTTGACTAACACTGCAATCCTATGCATAATTAAGGGGGAAGGGATCGGTCCTATTTAAGTCATTGGGACTATTTCTGCATAAGTCATTGGGACTATTTCTGCATAAACATGCCTAGGATTCTGCTGGGATGAGACGGCTATGGGTTGGTTTTTTTTATTACCGTATTGTGTTGTCTTTTTTTTAACAAAACACTAAAAGAATATGTGAAATTATTCATTCCCAAAATATTAAAAAAAAGGTCAGAAGCCCTTAACCTTATAGTGCTTTCTGTGATAGATATTTACAATTTTTTTTAATTGTTGCAAGGCCAATTTATCCATTATTGGAAATGCTAAGCAAGTGGAATTTACCGTTTTGTTAATAAAATGTTTCTTAATACAATTGGTGGCTCATTATTTTTCAGCTCTTTTCACTATTAAGTCTGCTATCATCCTAATCATCATTCCAGAGAGAGAGGTCAAAAAAGTTGAGGCTGTGGCCACAACTGTGTGATCAAGGCATCACCTGTTTTTATCTGTGTCGTTGTGTGGAATTGGATAGGTAGAATACGTAAAAAAGGAGCAGGGCTTCAATTGCCCAATCACAGAAACCACAGAAAAAGGCATATTTGACCGCCTATGGCAGGGGTGTCAAACTTATGGCCTGCGGGCCAGATGTGTCACATGATGAGCATGCCCACACCTGGTTTAGCAAAGGGAAAAAAGTCACGATATGTCACATGACAACATGACACCGCAAGTTTGACACCCCTGTTCTAAGGGGGCACTCCCTGAAATTTGTGTAGACCCCAAATCAGTTTCAATTCTCCAAATTTTCCTCTATATTATTATATATGAAGCAGACCCGCACAAACTCATTCATATTAAAAAAGCAGGTGCTCACAATTGAAAATATAAGAGACATCATATTAGACATATCTTGATAGTTTGTTCTTAATAGAAGGTTTTCATTCGATTCACACATCGCTATGTTCACAGTTTATAAAAAGTACTATGACTGGAGTCATAGAATGCACTGAAGCATAATCAAACAAGCAACTTTATAACTTACTGAAGTGTTTGAACTCAATCTTTGTATTAGGAGTGATTAATCATAGCCTGTGCTCAAACTGATGGGCTGATTACATGGACTGGAATTAATGTGGATCAAGATGCAGGCAGAAAAGACAATGTTCTTCAAAACTGCCCTCAGAAAAAGGGGAAACCTTATCTCTCTTATCTCATAAAATAAATTAAAATAAAACTAATAATGAGTTATTTCAATTATAGGAACAGAAAAATCTTATTACAACAAATGGAAACTTAGATGGTAAAAATGCATAATTGGGTTTACAGATAATTCAGACTTTTACTGATGGTCATCTTTAAGGACAAGCCATCTCTAGCTTTAGAGTCCCTGTATCAGGCAATGAAATGAGCCTTGGTGGTACAGTAATTAGAATGCAGTATTGCAGGCTAATTCTGCCCACAGCCAGAAGTTAAACCCTGATGGGGCATGAGGTTGACTCAGCATTCCATCCTTCCAAGGTGGGTAAGCTGAAAAGCCAGATAATGTAAACTACTCAATGCTATAAAGCACTATGGGACACTTTATACGTCTTAAGTGCTATTCCTAAGTGCTAAACGTCTTCAATCCCTTCTAAATTCTATGATTCTATAAAGATGAAGTGACTCCTATGTTTAGAATAGTTGGGGCAAGATTGTAACTATAGAACTTAGCATCAACTCCTAGTTTATTCCATTTTTGTCATGCAATTCTGATGTTAAGAGCTGCTCATTGTACATAAATCCTAGCTATGTACCAGCTAGGACTCTGAAATCTGGGCTGAAACATCCCTAGTAAAGCCATTATGCAGATTTGTACTTAATGTGATTTATGAAGCTGGAACTGTTTATACTGCAATGTGCCAAATCAGACACAATTCACCAGTCAAGTACAGAGACTGGCAGTTCCTTGGAAATATGAGAAAGATATTGAACTCTAAATGGCTGTCATATATGACTCATCTTGGTGCCAATACAGAATTTCCAAACAAGAGTTCATTTCAAAGGGGACATACTGGAAATGAATATGATTTGTTGCTGTGTTTACAAGCAGTTATAGGTCATTCTTAACTACCAATACATGGAGCTTTCAAATGAGTTTAGACTTAAAATGGATATGATTTGGAAACAAATGTCAGGATTCCATCTTTGCTATTTCGACTGGAAATGTTCATTCTCAGAAATGAGAAAGTTAGAGCTCAGATTTTTAGAATGTGTTAGAAGAAAAGTTAAGTTCACCATACAGGAATTCCAGCACTTACAATCTACAGATAGTCCTTGTCTTACAACAGTTCATGTAGTGACCATTTTAAGTTACAGCAACACTGGAAATAGTGACTTATGATTATTTTTCACACATACGACTGTTGCAGCATCCTAATGGTCATGTGATCAAAATTCAGATGCCAACTGACTCATATTTATGACCGTTGAAGTGTCCTGGGATCATGTGATCACCTTTTGTGACCTTCTGACAAACAAAGTCAATGGGGTTGCCAGATTCACTTAACAACCCTATTACTAACTTAACAACTGCAATGATTCACTTAACAACTGTGGCAAGAAAGGCCATAAAATGGGGCAAAATTAATTTAAGCAACAGAAATGTTGGGCTCAATTGTGGTGATAAGTCAAAGACTACCTGTATTCAATTGAGAAACCTATTTATAAGGATACTCTTGTCCATTTTCCTTGCATTCTTTTGAAGTTGGGACAGTATACATCTCTATATTGTAACTTTTCCCTTGCTCTCACATTAGCAGTGAAATGCATTGGCTAAATGAGCTAGCACAATTCTAAAATATGTGAATAGAATATAGTTCTAGGTAATGTAATTGTACTATTCTGATTTTATCTGTCCTCACCTGGATTTCTGTCTAATTTTGGAAAATAGAAAATTATTGATTAATTTGAACATCTTGGTCCCAGCGATCTTCAATTATTTTCATAAATGACTTAGATGAAAGGATGCTCATTAGATCAAAATCCAGCAGGAATTTAACAACCTTCAGCATTGGACTCTATCCAAGAAGATACGATTCAGTGATGAAGGTCCTGGACTTAGGCAGGAAAAACCAAATGCATAGGTATAGACTAGGCACCCAAAGGTGGTTTTTCAAGAAGCAACTGGACCTTCTTGTTTTCCTTTGAAGTTTTAAGAAGCTTCTGTAGCTCTGACTGGATGGTAGGGAATGGAAGGATTTATATTCCTTGCAGACAGCTGGTCATTTTTATTTACATACATTTAGCTATGCACTTTGGGATGAACACCATTTGAATGGTGTGGCAGTGTGAACCGTTTGAGATGCAGATGGCATAGGCTCATCCCCAATGGCCTGTGTCTGTGTTCAACAGACATAGGGGGAACATAGGGCAGAGAGGAGCATCCTGCAGTGGGCACAGCTCCACAGCACAATCTTTTTAGCAGTTCCAAGAAGGTTCCACATTCATTTGCATTACTCAGGTGATCCTGAGGACACAGAAAAACCTCCAGGTGGCCTTAATGACTCTCTAAAAGGATGCAAATGACCTGCTGTCTGCAAGGAATATAAGTGCTTCCATTCCCCACCATCCAGCCAGAGCTGAAGAAACTTCTTCAAAGAGAAGTGAAACACCTTTTTAAAAAAGAAAGAAAGTCTAGTTGACTCTTGAAAAGCATCTTTGGGACAACCATGACCTGGATGACTGAGAATCTCCCTAGACATATAGGATAGGCAGTGCCTGGCTCAACAGTAGTGCCTTGTGAGAGGGATCTTGATGTCCTGGTGGATCACCTCTTGTCAGTCAACAGTGTGCTTCAGCTGCCAAAAAACCCAACACAGTCCTAGAGTGCATCAACAGAAAAATAGCATCAATTAATCAATTAATAGTACTGCTCTGTATTGCACTATTGAGGCTACACTTAGAATACTGCCTCCAGTTCTGGTCACAATGATACAAAAAGAAAAATGCTGATACCAGGGGTGAAATTCACTTACCTTCCCTACCGGTTCACAAATGTAGCTGCACCGTCGTCTGCACATGCACAAAGCCTTCTGCACATGTGCAGAGGCTTAAAATCATCATAAGAAAGTGACGTCATGACATCCGCATGGGTGGGCGGAGCCTCTCACAGCTGCCACTACCGGTTCACCCAAGCCAAATAGAACCAGCTGAATTTCACCCCTGGCTGATACCCTAGAAAAAGTTCAGAGAAGAGCACCAAAGATGATAAGGGATCTGGAGGCTAAATCATATGATCAACAGCTAAGGGAACTTGGTTATGTTTAGAAGAGAAGACTCAGGAGACACGTGATAACAGTCTTCCAATAACTGAAGGACTATCACAGGATGCTGATTTACTCTCCATAGACCTGAGAATAGGATAAGAAGCAATGGGTAGAAGCTCATCAGAAGGAGATCAACCCTAGAAATAAGGAAAAATTTTCTGACAGTGAAATCAGTCAAACATCTTACCTCATGGAATTGTGGATTCCCCATTGTTGGACATTTTCATGAATAGACTGGACAACCATTTACATAATGACTTCTGCCTTGGGCAGGCAGTTGCACTAGAAGACTTTCAAGATCCCTTCCAGCCCTGTGACTCTATGTCAGGGGCAAATAATAAATTCAGTGAGGAATTAAAACTTTAAAAAGTGTTAAGAAATTCTGTAAAAAAAACTTTGTAAGTGTTGAAACCAAGATTAGTAACGAGTCCAGAGAAAGTCATGTTCATTGCCAACGGCAACTTGTCTATTGTCAATGTGGAGAATCTAGCTGCACAAAGGAGCACTGACTGTATAGAAAAAAACCCCCAGAAAATCTCTGCCTGGGGGTAAGTTCTTTCCTTTGCTGCAATATTTTATTTATTTATTTATTTATTTGATTTGATTTGATTTTTATACCGCCCTTCTCCAACAGGACTCAGGGCGGTGAACAGCCGAGATAAAACATAACATATAAAATTTAAAAAACAGTTTAAAAGACATTAAATAATTTCAGCCACATCCAAATCTTCTTAATAAAATTTGCTACACAGGGCTCTGTAAGAATCTTGCTTGTAAAAGACTCATGTTTGGTTTTAAGCAACTGTCGAAGAGCCTGCATCTATGTAGGCACCGATTCCATTAAAACAAGCGTAAGCTTTAAAAGTTTTCTTACTTGAAACAAGTACTTTGAAACTCACAGGTCACTTTAGAGGTTGTAATGCTCCTATAACATGTTCTTATTGATATAATGCATTGCATTAAGCGCCTTTCTTATTTCTTAGAACCTACCCATCAACATGAAGGCAGATATGCTTAAATGCATCTTATTGATTCATATAGTCTAATTAATTATAAATAGAAACTGTTC